TCAGAGGAGCAGGAAAGCTGATGTTTCGGGTCTGGACCCTTCTTCAGCATTTCTGAAGAAGGGTCTAGGCCTGAAACATCAGCTTTTCTGCTCCTCTGATGCTGCTTGGCCTGCTGTGTTCATCCAGCTCTACACCTTGTTATCTCAGATTCTCCAGCATCTGCAGTTCCTACTATCTCTACTAACACTCAGTTTGGTTTCTGTCAGACCTTACAGCTTCTGATCTCATTACACCCTCGGTCCAAATATAAGAGCTGAACTCTAGAGATGATCGGAGTGATTGTCCTTTAACTCAAAGTAGCACTTGACTGAATATGCCATTGAAGAACTCTGGCAAAATTGAAATGAATGGGAACTGGAAATAAAATTCTTCACCTGAATGAGTCACATCTAACTGAAAAGGAAAATACTTGGTCGTTGTTAGATTCCTTCATCACCCTTCATGGATGTTGTTACAGAAGTTACTGAGAATAGTCTGCTAAGTTTGACAATCTTCAGCTGCTTCATCAATAACCTTCCCTTCATCATGAAGTTGGAAATGGAGATACTCAATGATGTTTTACAATTTTTTCAGCACCATTCTTGACTTCTCAGATATTGAACCAGTCTGTGTCCATATGCAGCAAGACGTCTATCACCTCGAAGAATAAAGGCAACAGATGCATAGGGATACCACCACCTGCAGGTTCCACTCCAAACCACACCATCCAGCTTGGATATATATCACCATTTTTTCACAGTCACCAGGTAAAATCTCTGCGTGCAGCACTATGGGTGTATCTGCAGGGATTCAAGAAAGCCACCTATATATCGACTTTCTCAAGAGTAATTAGGGAAGGGCAGTAAATGTTACTGAGCCAGCTATGTGAGATCCAATTAATAAAAAATAACACTCACCATCATGACTTGCAATGTTTTCTCCGTTTCTTCACCATCATGGAATCAATATCCAGGAATTCTCTTCTGAGCAGTATTGTGGCTGCACCTGAACCGGATGTACTGTAGTAGTTCCAGTAAGTGACTCATCATCACCTTCTCCAGGATGATTAGGGATCGGCAACAGTTAGGCTTAGCCAGAATGTAAAAATAAAGAGCAAGTCCATCAGGGCAGAGAAATATATTGGCAAGAGTTAAAAAGGAGTAGGGAGTACAAATATTCAGCATCATAATAACCTAAGGGAGGTCCAAGCTGTTGTAATTGTTTTCTTGGTTGATGAGAGAAGTTTAAGGCACACACACTAGTAAAGGAAAGGTAACCACAACAATGGTGTCAGATATCTATAAACGATAATAGGTAAACACAACTTATCAATTTTCAAAACACAACTGGTTTATTGCAGATTTGAACATTTACAAACTGCAAAAACAGACTAGATAAATTTTGAAGATTTTGGAGAATTGATGTTTTCACATTGTTCATTGAACTGTTGGTGAGAGAGGTTGGTGCTTTAAATTTTTGATTACTGAAGGAGGTAATTTTAGAATAAGTAGTGCATAATTTATGTGTAAGACAAAGAAAATGATCTTGTGTAATACTTAAATTTATCATGGAAATGATATCTGTGTTTACAAATTTATGTAACGTTTCTTGTAAATTGGGGTTGACATCCTGTCATAAGCTTGCATTTTGTTTTACAAATTTGAACATTTATAGTATGAACTCCAATATCCCGACAGCTGCTGAAACTACTGTCAAGGATTTTGCTTGAGAATAATAATTATTATTATAGGTTATACTTCCATTCAATTTTCTTGTCCAATTTGAAACTCTTTTTTGCTAGACATCAGTTGGTACTATGTCAGTGCAGAGTGGAGCCTTATTATTTCCACAGCTTTGCTGTCACCTGGGAAACCTCAGTTAATGCAAGCATTTCAATTTGGAGGCTGCCTGTAGCAGATGTCAATAGCTGCAAAAATCTTAAAGATAGAACATCAGATCATCAGGGACAAGAAAAAGGAAAGTAAATTGTTCTTTCAACCTTGTTGTGATTTGACCTGCAAACTGCTGAAAATTAATTCATCTGTACAAACTTGTCCTACTAATGAAAATTCCTTTTCAGCAACAACAACAGAATCAAACCTTGACTATTTTAAAATTATAATGCAATTAGACCAAACATATCCAACATAGTAATGAATGCTGCATTAAATCAAGTACAAAGTTGCATAATATTTTTATACTTGAGGTCCCCTAGCAAATACTTCCACTGTCATGATTTCTTCTTTTTGTTTGTGGAGGATGGTTCAGATCACATAAGTCTCTATGGCTGCCTCAATTGCATTGTTTCATGAGCCTAGCAGAAGGGTGATTCAGTCAAGATGAGATATTCCCTCTTGTGGCCTGGCTGAAATATGGCTAAGCTTTTTCTCCTTTGCACTTCCTTCAGATTTCAATGCTGTTTGCCTTCTAATAACAGTCTAAATCTCCATTCCACCCAAAAGCAACTATTCCAGCTTCTTAATGTGGTTGCAATTTGGCGGCCCAGCCATTTTTAAAATAATTAGCTGGCTATACTCCACTGTTCACTAGAGATGTAAGAGACGTTGATGTTTTTTTTTCACAGAAGATCGTTGATGATTATGATTATTGTTAGGTGTGTATATTTCATGTAAACAGCTCTAGAGTATACACTTTGGCATTATAAGCAACAATGCTGTGTTTGGATTGAAACAAACAAGTGGTTAAGTTTGAATTATACAATGAAGTTACAATGTAAGTAATAGCCAGGTTTAGGTGTGTACTTCAGATTGCATAAAATATAGGTCCCTAGCTTTTGGTGTCCCATTGTAATGATTGAGACTTAAATGTAGACAGTACGTCTTCAAAAATATGCTCAGATTACAAAAAAAGGCCATATGGTTCATTGTATAGAAAAAACAGTGTGACTGCAGGAAGGTATCTGTGGACTGGTCAGCGGCAAGTGGATTGCAATCAAGAGTGTTATGAGGTGATGCAATTGGGAAGGGTATTCACGGCAAGGGAATAAATAATACAACACTGTAAACTATGAAGGAGCATAGGTACCTTGGAGTTCCTGACCAGGAGGACAGGTATATAAGATGGCTTAGAAAGCATAATGTACACTTCATTAGCCAAGGTATTGAAAATAAGAAGAGGGAAGGTGTGCTCAACCTACATAACATAATTGTTACTGTTAGATACTACATTCTGTTCAGATCACCACATTTAAGGAAAATTATGATCTGACTAGAAAAGAATTATGAGAACATTGTCAGGAACAGATTATTTTAGTTATGATAAAAGATTAGACAGGTGAGGTGGTGGTTTTAATTGATATGCATAAACCAATGAGGAACCTAGAAAAAGTGGATCAGAACAACCTATTCCACATAGCAGAGAGATTAATAAATAGGAAGCATAAATTTAAAGCAGTTGGTAGAAGAATTAGAGGGGTGTTGAGGTGAATGTTTTTCCCTAAGGGTGTGGTGGGTGTCAGGAATTCAGCATCTAACTATTGAGTAGAAGGAGAAGCTGTCATTGCAGTTAAAAACTGTTTGGTCTTGCATTTGGAGTGCTGTAACTTCTAAGGCTAAGGATCAAGTACTGCAAAGTCAGTCAAGATTAGATTGCTTTTGTTTAGGCCAGCACAAATGTAATGGGCCCAATGGCTTTTTTCTGTGCTTTAAATCTCCATAATTATACATCTATGATTGAAGTCTTAAAAATAATATTAAATAAAATTACAATGCAGTCTATCAAGTGAAATTGCTTTGTAAGTGGGTGCTGGAAACTACGCGTGCATGACTGGGAGTAACTTTTTGACTTAAATGTTCTCTTCCTATCTGTGGAAAACCAATTTCCCTCTGTTTATTCCTGTTTAGAAATCTCAGTCAAGACAGAGTTAGGTTATTAAGTAAACAAAACTGTTGTGTGTTAGTATATGCAGACTATACGTTTGAGACACCTCCTTTGTTAAAAGAATGTGGGTGAGTGCTGTTCAAGTAGTAAATGTGATATCTGAAATGGTTTTGCAATGATACTATATCCATGAGGTTCCATATGCTGTTTACCTTCAGTATCCAGAGTGGTAGGATCCATATTTGCATGTTATCTATATCCTTCAACTTGACACATCACATTTAGTGACTTGTCCTTTGATTTTCTTTTTAGAAATGCCATTAATTGAAAAACTACAATTGAATGTCCAAACAGGATCAAGTTTAAGTTTCTCTGATGAGAAAGAGCAGCAAAGATTCAAAACACTGAAGCAGAAATTATTGCAAGAAGAGAAAAAGGAAGATTCTTCTCAGTCTAAGAAGGTCTGGGGCGCAGGGTTCCTATCGAGCATATCTAATATTCCCAGGTAAATGAAAACATGAATATAACTGAATTACATACTTTGCTGGATAGCTAGACCCAGTGGGAGAACAATCATTGTATTCTTTCCCTTTTTGCCTAGTGCTGCATGAAACAACTCACTTCTTCCACTGCTTTTGTCATGCTCCAATTTGGTTCTGTAAAGAAGATCCTTTTCTGCAGACAAGTTGTTGGCCGCACTCATAAGCTGCCTATCAGATGGTTCACAATGTGTGCAATACGCGCACAATACTCCGATACGCTGCTGGCTATCAACCCAGTATTCAGTGGCATGTGTGTGAGAGGCTGGGACTTTTTTCATTGGACCATAGGAGGTTGAGGGGTGACCTTATAGAGATTTATAAAATCATAAGGGGTATAGATAAGGTGAATAGCAAGGGTTTGGAAGTTCAAAACAAGGGAGTATTTTTAAGGTAAGAGGAGAAAGATTTTAAAAAGTGAGTTGCTGTAGTGCTACTGGTGTTGTGCATTGGTGGTGAAGGGTACGAGTCAAGTGCTTTGTCCTGCATGGAGCTAAACTTCTTGAGTGTTGTTGGACAGATGGAATGTTGCTATATTCGTCCAGACATGATTAGAGTGTTTTATCACTCCTAACTTGTGCCTTACAAATGGTGGACAGGCTTTGGGCATCAGGAGGTAAATTATTTGCCACAGAATTTCCAGTTGCTGACCAGCTTTTGTCACAATTAGCCACAATATTTACATGGCTGGTTCAGTTCGGTTTCCAGTCATCGTGGGGAATGCAGCAATGCTAATGCAACAGGCTGTCAAGAGAAGAAGATTAAATTCTTTCTTGTTTGAGATGGTCATTGACTGGCACTTGTATGGCACAAATGTGACTTGCCACGTCTCAGCCTAATGATATCTGACTCTTGCTGTCTATGGGCATTGAGTGCTTCAGTATTTCTGGAATCACAAATGGTGCCAAACATTGTGCCATCATCAGTGAACATCTGACTTATGACCTTATGATGGAAGGAAGGTAATTAATGAAGCACCTGAAGATGTTTTGGCCTGGGACATTACCCTGAGGAAATCATGCAATGATGTCCCGTGGTTGAAAATGATTGTCCTCCGACAAGTACAACTATCTTCATTTGTGCTTAATCAACTACTGGAAAGTTCACCAGACCCCTCCAATTTCCATTGATTCCAGTTTTGCTGAAGCACTTTGATGTCACGCTAAGTTGAATCTGCCTGGATGTCAAGGCTGTCACTTTCATTTCACCACTTAAGTTCAGCTCTTTGTCCATGTTTGGACTAAGGCACTGATGAGATGGAACCCAAACTCAGGGCCAGTGGACAGGTGATCGCTGAGTAAATGATGCTTGATAACACTATTGATCTGTTGATAACTCCTTCAATCACCTTGCTGATGATCAAGAATAGTCTGATACTTTGGTAATTGGTTGGGTTGGATTTCTGCTGCTATTTGTGTATTGGACTTACTTGGACAATTTTTCTGCACTGTGAAGATGCCACTGATCTCCCAGTTAACTAGGGCCATGGGGAATTCTGGAATACAGGCTGTTAGTACTATAGCTAGAATTTTGTCAGGGCCCACAGTCTTTGCAATACCTGATTCCTCTAAAGCTTTAATCTCCAGGAAATATAACCCTAGTTTGTGTAATCCTGCCTCATAAATCAACCTTTGAGTCCAGATATGCTAATATATCCACTGCCCCTCCAAAGGCAATATATCCTTCGCAATCTCAGAGAAGCAGAAAAGTTGACATTTCAGGTCAGGGCCCTTCCTCAGAAATGGGGAGGGGTAGGGGAGCTCAGAAATAAATAGAGAGAGGAGGGGTGGGGCTGGGGAAGGTAGGTGGGATGGTGATAGGTGAGTGCAGGTAGGAAGTGGTGGGGATTGGTCAATGAGGTGGGAGGGGCAGATAGGTGGGAGAAGAGATGGACAGGTTGTGTCAGGTCGAGGAGGTGGGGATGAGAGGGAGGATTGGACATGGGATGAGGCCAGGGGTGGGGAGATTTTAAAACTGGTGAAATCCATATTTACGCCATAGGGCTGTAGGCTCCCAAGGTGGAATATGAGGTGCTGCTCCTCCAGTTTGCACACCTTGAAATCTCATGTAACTGTTCTCCCACCTGCTTATCTGAAACAAAGGAAAATGAACAGAATTTCAGGAGCAACACACAGGTAGGATAGGCAGGTTGCAGGATCTGGTGGCTGAAACAAGCAGACTATCAGTTGCCTAGTACGTGAATCAAATGGTCCACAAGCTATAAAAATGTTATTTCTGGGGGCTGTCTTGTGATACAGTGGTAGTACCTCTACCTCTGGACCAAAAGACCTGGGTTTAAGTCCCACCTGCTCCAGAAATGTGTAATTACATCTCTGACCAGGTTGATTAGAAAAATAAGGTAATTTAAAAAAAGAGCTATTTCTAGGGGCTCTTTTGTAATGCAGTGGTAGTATCCCTACCTCTGGGCCAAAAGGTCTGGGTTCAAGTCCCACCTGCTTCAGAAGTATGTAATAACATCTCTGAACAGTTTGATTGTGAAAGATAGGTTAATTTTAAAAAATGTTATTTCTACCTTTAGAGAAAGGTAGGCACTGTGGGGGCAGGGCTTTATCTCCCCCAACTCCGTTTTAATTTAGCCCCTTCTTGCTCTCCCTTCCCCATCTTCGCTTTTAATGGTTTGCATTGCCCTTATTGGGCTTTGCTTATAAATATAGAATTGGCTCTATAGGTGTTTTATGGGTGGTGATTAGTGTTTAGAAAGGAAAACAAAAAAAAACAAAAAAAGATTTACACTGATTTTGGTGATGGGAAAGTTGCTCAGTTATGTATGATAGCACTTCTGGATATAGAAAATAAAAAAAACAACAGGAATGTTGCTTTTAGTCACGGTGATTTGGGGGTGGGAAAGTCATTCGGTTGTGTGTGATAGCACTTCTGGATATTAAACAAGAAGAACTTTTTTTTAGGGCTGTTGTGGTGCAGTGATAGTGTCTCTGCCTCTGAGCCCAGAAGACCTGGGTTCAAGTCACATCTGCCCTACAGGTGTGCAATAACCTCTCTGGACAGGTTGACTTGAAAATATAAAGAAATGTTATTTCTGTCCTCATCTCCTCCCTTCCACTAAGTTACTTTCACAAAAGCATTATGTTTTCCTTGTGATTTAGTCTATTTGGCTCCTTTGGGAAAAATAAGCATCATATTGTAGTTAAAACCCAGTGTGGCTACATTGTTATCGCAATATGCACATTCATTAAAATTTAGAACCTTTTCAGAAACTCAGAAGTTACAACTACATGCCATCAACTTTAATCATCTGATTCATTTTAAAATTATTTCATCCAATTTCAGTGTAATCATCCAGAAAAAATATATTTTCGTGTTTTTAAGTTTGAGGCACTGCATCTCAAGAACAATTCCTTGGAGGAATAGATTCTGCAAAGTAACATTGGGGCAAGTGGTGCAAAAAGGTTAAATTGTAATAACTGGTTGCGTAGTCAAACCTTGTATTTCTTAAAGTATAGATTATTTCAGGGATGATAAAACTGAGAGGCTTCTAATGTTGAATGATTCAATAAGCGTAATAGAGAGAAACTGTTCTTCCGCTGGGGAAATTTACAACAATGGTTCATAAGTGTAAAAAAACAGCTGGCCATTCAGGAACGATGTCACGAAACATTTCGCACAAACAATGCGGAAACTTGGAAACTCTTTCTTCTAAAAACTATTGAAACTAGGTGAAATGAAAATTTCAGAATTGCCTAGCAAAACTGTTAATGTCAAAGTTATTTAACAACATGAAACCAAGGTAAATTGAGTCAAGCTATAGAACAGCGCTAATCTAGCTGAACAATTTGAGAAGCTAAATGCTGCCTCAGATTCTTCTGGTGCTTTCTCTGAGGAGGGAATATAATCTGCTAATCTGTCCGGATACATAGTCACACAATAGCCTGAATGTTACCATGCAAAGCCAGTTCTGCACAACCGGGTAAAGAAATTTAAAGGGATCCATGCACTAAAAACAACTTAATAACCTACATTTTAAAAGGAACATTAGCATTTAGTTTCAAGAACAGACATTGATGGAAAAGCTCAGCAGGTCTGGCAGCATCTATGGAGAGAAATCAGAATTAATGTTTCAGGCTGAGAGATCCTACCTCAGAACTTCCTCAGCATTCTGAGGAAGGGTCACTCGACCTGAAACATTAACTTTGATTTCTCTCCACAGATGCTGAAGTTTTCCAGCAATTTCTGGTTTTGGTTCTGATTTACAGCATCGGCAGTTCTTTTGGTTTTTACTTGGCATTTAGTTTGCTATTTATGATGTAAATATCTGGTTTTATATTATGTATTTCAGAGAGAAGACTCCTAATCTAAATATATTATTTCCCGAGTTGACAGCCTATGACGTGACTATTCAGACAAAGAGAAAACGTGAACTTAGATTAGCTGCAATGAAAGAACACAAAGAAAAACAGGCATTTATAGAACAGAGGATGAAGTGAGTACAGTATTTCTCTACATCTCTTGTTAGTGAAATTGTGTCTGTTTTGTTAGAATTATGTCCACATAACACTTAAGTTAGGCTATTTTCATTAAATGCTGAGTGCTTGTAGCAAAGCAGCCTTGATAAATTTCACTTTCTAGTGAAATTATATTTATCGAGTATAATCTTTGAATTTTATTTATGCCTTCGAAGTTTATTAAAACTTTGACTTAAAATGTTTGCGTTGTGTCCAATTTACAATAAAATGCAACTTAATGACATTCTCGCATTTAATAAAGTCTGTTTGAACTGATCATTTAACCAGATGTGAATCTATTCTCTAACTAGAATTTGCTATTTTCTGATAGCAAATTATCCAAACTTCATCATGAAAATGTTAACACTGTTAATAAATAGACTCATAAGTTTATGACTTACAAATAAATTTCAGCATTTATTAAACTTCTTATTTAACTACTACAAAGTATTTTCAAATTTCAACATTTACTCCAAACATTGCATTTAATTTTATGATTTATATAGGAATAATGTTGTCCACCTCACTGGAGTTTCTCTACTTCATGGTACTCTGATTGTGTCAGTATTTTAGCCAATTTGAATGGGAAATGTATTATTTCATGTCAGGACAAACTTTGTTAAAGTAGAAACTGAAAGAACTAAATCAGGAACAAAAGCAGAAGTTGTTGGAAAAGCTCAGCAGGTCTGGCAGCATCTGTGAAGAAAAATCAGAGTTGACGTTTCAGGTCCAGTGACCCTTCCTCAGAACTGATATTTGGAAAATGTTGGTTTATATGCAGAAGATAGGGTGGATGGAGGGGGTAAGGAGTAAATGATAGGTGGGGATAAGGCCCAAAGAGAGAGAAGAGTTAGACAAACAAAGGAGTTGATCATGATCTAGCTAGGAGGGGACTGTTAGTGACTTGTAATAGGTAGCATGGAATAGCAGACTATGTGATAACTGGGCCTGGTGTGTGAGGTAGGGGGCTAGAACATGGGAGATTTTAGGCCCTAAAATTATTCAACTCAGTATTGAGTCCAGCGGGCTGCGGAGTCCCCAAGCAGAAAATGAAGTGTTGTTCTTACAGCTTGCGCTGAGCTTCGCTGGAACACTGCAGCAAGCCTGAGACAGAGATGTTGGCCAGGGAGCAGAGTGGTGTGTTAAAGTGGCAGGCAACTGGAAGTTCAGGGTCTTTTTTGCGGGCAGAACGTAGATGTTCTGTGAGGCAGTCATCCAATCTATGCTTTGTTTGCCCAGTGTAGAGGAGACCTCATTGTGAGCAGCGAATGCAGTAGACTAGATTGTGTGAAGTGCAGGTAAAGTGCTGCTTCACTTGGAAGGTATGTTTGGGCCCTTGGGTACTGGGGAGGGAAGAAGTAAATGGGCAGGTGTTACACCTTCGGCCATTGCAGGGGAAGGTGCTGTGGGGCTGTGTGCGTGTGTTGGGAGTGAAGGAAGAGTGGACCAATAATGGGCCATATTTTCTGGTCAGCGTTCTTTTTAGTATTTCTTCTCTCACATTATTTTCCCTCTGGAGAATGGTGGGGAGATGTTGGGAGGATTCCATGGCTTGTGACTTCAATCTAGAACTTCCGCCCCAGAAGGAATAGTGAATGTTTGTTATTCTGATGACTGCCCCAGAAATATTATAGGCTTTTTCAGAGGTCACTTGCTGTAGCTAGAGATCATTTTTAGAGAGGTTCCCTCTAGTGGGGATTTGTGGCATGTGCATACAGGACAAACAGTAGTTTAACTCTTCCACTAATCTTACTAAGATTGTATGATTCTGAACTAAAAAGTGAAATTAGAATATTTAATTCAAAGAAAAATTGTGTACAGGCAACTAAATAAAGAGAGAGAAGTTAAGATGGAATTGAGAGAAATAAAAGAGATATAAGGCACAATGTTTTTTTCAATCTTTAAAATTGCAAAATTAAATCCTTCAGGGTTGTATCACAGCATTAAAATTTTCCATCAGCTTTAACTATTTTGCTGCTGAATTTATTAAACATCCAGTGGGTAACAACAACGCCATGTCCTAACATTGATTTTAAAGCTTAGTCTGTCCGAGGTAGTTTTGTAATTCAGCCTGCAGAAGAAATTTTGACCACAGCTTCCAAATTTCCACATTTAACTGCATGTGTACTGCGGCAATTTATTCTCAAAATAAAATTTGAGCTATTGTATTCCAACAGGACTTGTGTGGTATTCACGTTTAAACCATAGACAAATTTAAGTTATTTTTTAGCTTTGTTTTGGTAGTTTTGTTTTAAGGGAAGTTGAAAGCAGAGGAACTATCTTGGAATGGTATGCATAATTAAAAGAGAATGAATTAAGTTGCATGCCATAATTCCGCAGTTTGCTTGCAATAGAATATGGAGGTAGTGGGTTGAATACAGCTAAAAATAAATCTTTTCACTTTTTAATTTTAAGGTTTTTGTGATATGTTAATAATGTTATTAAGTTGATTCAAATATTGGGGCTTCTTTCAATTTCAACACCCTGCCCACATTTTATCAGTGATATGGCAACAAGTAGTGCAAACCATATTTCAGATTTTCAGATTTTTTTTGTTTGTGCATCCTGCAATCCCAACCTCCTGCCTGTTGAATTGAACATATGTCACCAGAAGAAGCAGGTTGCAGGATGATGAAATGTATTGGATTCACACCAATTTTGTTTGTATAGACCTTTATAGAACGCCTAGAGAGTCAGGAACAGAGTCTAACAGAAATAGTTCACATAGATAAAGCCAAAACGTTGCAAACACAAAATCTGAAACAAACACAGAAAATGCTGCAGAAACTCAGCAGACCCAACGTCATCTGTGGGGAGAGAAATAGACTTAAATGTTTCACGCTCGGAATATGACTGTTTTTCAGTTTTGACTCAAAACGTTAACTCTGTTTCTTTCTCCACAGATACTGATTCTGAGCAATAACTTACTTAATAATAACTGTTTGATTGCCATTGAGAAAGCAACAAATTCAAAACACAGTAGTTATACTACCACCATAACATTCCAAAGTTTAACACATTGCTTGGTTACCCCTTATTGAAATATGTCTATGTAAAGGTGACATTTTCTCTCTATGTTGGTGGGTGTGAATTCCAAACTCAAAATTTTCTAAGTTTGTGTGTTGTATTTCAGTTCCATAAGAGTCAGTAGTTTTCATTCAGCCAGCTAGGTGTTTTAAAACAAACTTTACAGAGTTACATTCAGTTGACGGAATGCTGCCAGTAACCAAACTCTAACTCGCAGCAGAGGCACCACCACTTTCTTGATGCTTTCCAATTTGAACCCTTTCAAGCATAAATATAACTTATTTAGAAAGAACCTTTCATGGCCGCAGGATGTTGCAAAATGCTTCCCAGTCAATTATTTTTAAAATGTAGTGACTGGTTTTAGGAAAATCCATTGACAAATTGCCAATAGCAACAGAAATTATTTAACAGACCAGATAATATGTTTTACTGATGTTAATTGAGGGCGCCAAGAAACTCTGTAGTAGTTCTTTAAGTAGTGCCATTGAATCTTTTATATCCATCTGAGAACAGATAGGAGCTCAGCCTATTGCACCTTATTTTCATCCCCACAATAACCCTTCTGCACTTTATGTCTCCCTTTTCTGCTTCATCCCCATCTCAGGTTGAGATCTCTATATCTTCCTATCATACCTACCCCATCATTCCATCATAGATAACAAGGTGTAGAGCTGGATGAACACAGCAGGCCAAGCAGCATCAGAGGAACAGGAAGGCTGACGTTTCGGGTCGGGACCGTTCTTCAGAAAATGAAGAAGGAAATGAATTTTTCTGAAGAAGGGTCTAGGCCCGAAACGTCAGCTTTCCTGCTCCTCTGATGCTGCTTGGCCTGCAGTGTTCATCCAGCTCTACACCTTGTTATCTCAGATTCTCCAGCATCTGCAGTTCCTACTATCTCTCCCATCATTCCATCAACCTGATTTTTCATGTTCACAATTTGAAAAGATTTCTTTTAAGTCCTTAAATAGTTCATACCATACGTGGTCACTGATTTTTTTTTCCATTATTCATTCATGGGATGAGGACATTGCTGGCTAGGATCCGCATTTATTGCCCATCTCTAATTGCCCAGAGGGCAGTTAAGAGTCAACCACATTGCTGCGGGCCTGGAGTCAAATGTAGTCCAGACCAGGTAAGGATGGCACTTTCCTTCCCTAAAGCACATTAGTGAGCCAGATGGGTTTTTTTCCCTGACAATCAACTTATTGGTCATCATTAGATTCTTAATTCCAAATATTCATTGAATTCAAATTCCACCATCCGCCATGGTGGGATTCGAGCCCAGCTCCCCAGAATGTTATCTGGGTCTCTGAATTAACAGTCCAGCAATAATACCACTAGGCCATCACCTCCCCATCTTGTTAAGTTGAAAGATGCATTTTCATTCTGATTTTGCTCATTACCTGCCTTGGTAATATAAATAGTTTGTAATCTGGTTGTTGACGGGTTGAAAAGCATTTGGACTGGCTGTGTGAATGTGAGATTCAGAACCAATGTGCAGTTGCCCAAACACAAATATTGCACATATGCAAATTGGAAATGTTGCTGAAACCTTAAAAATTATTTTAAATGAAGTAAATTTGGCAGAACAAAAACTAGCGTATGTTGCAAGATGGGGACAAGATTTGTTTTCTTACACTGGTACCATGCATCAAGGAGCCTAGCTAATTGTAAACAAAATAGAGTTTTCAATATAATAAATGCCCTTTCATCAGATGTTTTAATTCACTCTGAGGTTTAATCATTTCATCAAAAAGCATTGAACGTTGTCAATTATTCACGACACCATGAATGTCTTATAATTTTCAACGTCCTAGAACACAATTGTCTGAAGACATTGAAGAAGTGCTCTGTTTCATGTGTCCTAAATTTTATGTATAAAGGTGCTAACTTATTTTCATGTGAGTCTTCCCCAGTATTCAAATCTGTACTTAAATCAGCTGTACAGTGGAACATTTCTGTTTGGACTTTAATGGAGTCAAGCCAACCCTGGAACCATTTAGAAATCATCGGTGGGGTGCAATTTTGTGAATCCTGTCCACATTGTAGATTTAGGAAATGATTGAAAGGTACATTTAAATGGACTTACCCTTACCACCACCTCCCCACTCCCAACCTCATGCCACATCCATGTCTCCTCAGAAAGAGATAACCAATCATTTGGTTCTCCACCTGGCTTCATTTGGAAGGCTTGACTGACCTCAAGTCTCTCAAATACACTAGCTCAGATGGATTTATCTGGACAAACTGATATGGATTGTTTACATTACATGATTGACAACTTTCTGAGATTATATTAAGTTATTTATTTGTTCTGTGGTCTATTTTATCAATGTGTGTGTTCATTTGGACATTATTAAGAGGTGTAAAGTGGAGAAAGCTTCTGTTATTGCTGCTATAATTACCCCATCTGACATATTTATGGAGTGTTTGAAATGACAGGTTTTTTTTTCAAAGTATACTTCTCAATGGATGTTGTCTTTATTCCCAATATTTCAATATGTTGTTATGTAGGTGTTTGGTTCTGTACACAGGGCATTTGGGTGAAAAGGCAAAGAGGGGTAAAGGGAACAGGTGGGATTTTGACAAAGTCTATAAGGGCTAAGGTCTAGAATTTTAATATAACTAAAACCAAGAAAGGCCTGCTAACCAGCTTGCCTCAATATCCAGCTGTCCTGGTAGTTGCTGACAATCACCTTCTGGGATTGGCAAATCCTGCTCTCCTTTACATTCACCTGACTGGAATGATGTTTTCACAGATTGGACTCCTTTAATCTAAGGCAAATCTGCTGATTCAGGAAAAATGCTACTTGTCTCAGTAACAATCCATAGACTTGTTTTGATTGTAATTTAAATTACTTTTCCTTCTGATTTCCTGTCAAGCTAAAGTATGTAATTTCTAACCTAACCGATGACCTGTCCTGGTAAATGCGACAGTCAAGAAGGCACAACAATGCCTCTTCTTCCTCAGGTGATTTGCGAAATTTGGCATGTCCATAAGGTTCTTCACCAACTTCTACAGATGCTCCACTGAAAGCATACTGTCCGGGTGCGTAACGGCCTGGTATGGCAACTGCTCTGCCTGGGACTGTAAGAAATGACAGAAAGTGGTGTGCACAACCCAGACCATCACAGAAGCCAATCTTCCATCTGTGGACCCTATTTACATGGCTTGCTGCTGTGGAAAGGTGTCCAACATCATCAAAGACCCATTGCACCCTGGTGATCACGTCCTACAACCTCTTCCTTATAGAATAGAATCCGTACAATGTGGAAGCAGGCCCTTCGGCCCAACAAGTCCACACCAAACCTCACAGCATCCCACCCAGACCCATCGCCCTTTCACCCACCTAATCAACACCTCCCTGAGGAGGGCACTACAGGCAATTTTAGCATGGCCAATTCACCTAACCTGCACATCTTTGGACTGTGGGAGGAAACCAGAGCACCCAGAGGAAACCCACACAGACACGGGGAGAACGTGCAAACTCCACACAGACAGTCGCCAGAGGCAGGAATCGAACCCGGGTCCCTGGCACTGTGAGGCAGCAGTGCTAACCACTGTGCCACCGTGCCGTCAGGCAGAAGATGCAGAAGTCTGAACACATACACAAGCAGGTTCAGGAACAGCTTGTTTCCAGCAGCTATCAGACTGTTGAATGGACTCTAGCCTAAAATTATGTAACTTGCAATGTAACCTGTGTCTCTCTAAGTCTTTTTGATCTGTACATCCTTTGCTTGCTGTGATCTGCCTGTACCGTGCATAAACAAAGTTTTTCACTGTATTTCGGTACATGTAACAATAAATAATCAATCATCAATCAATTAAAATCTCAGTTAGTCTAAGTTGAGCATTCTGGTTCAATATCATTTATGACTTTACCTGAATTTACCTTTGTTTTATCTTAAATTATAGTCTTAAACAGGAGTAAACAGAATTGCACTTATTTACAGAGACCAGAAAGTATTGAGGGAATGGAGGGACCAAGCTAAGTTGATGCAGGAGCAGAAAGAAATAGAAATAAAGCAAAGATCTGTAACAGAAAGGAACAAGGTACTGGCAAATTAAAAAATATTTCTACTGTTACTTCCAAATTAATTTTGTCTAACATTATCAAAGTAGGTACATTTGTACTTTTGTTTTTCCTCAATATAATTATGTCAGAGTAATTGAAACACCAGCCAGATTTTCTAGGATGATGGCCATGTTGAGGTACTTGGTCCACTATGAACAGCAAGCCTGATACCTTATCTAGGAGAGGACTTGCAATACCTACCTACGATAAACAGGATCCAATCATTCCCTGTCATGTACAATAAAGTGAAAATAATACCACTCAGTTCAAATTATGCAATACAATTTTTTTATTTGTTCATGGGTATCACTGGCTTGGCCAGCATTTATTGCCCATTCTCTTGGTCTGCCCAGGACCGTAAGAAATGACAATTTAGAAGAAAGTTAAGAGTCAACCACATGCCTGTGTGTCTAGAGTCACTTGCAGTCCAGGCCAAGCAAAAACAGCCGTTAATAATCCAGAATTATGCGTGCAGAGCACATTTTCAAAATCTACAATGATAAAATCTTTGAGTGTCTGAACTGTGAGGAGAATTGTGATATATTTTAAAAGGATGTAGGCTGGTGCAATGAACAAACACATGGTGCATGAAATTTAATGTAGAGAGCAGTGAAATGATAATTTTGGGAGGAAGAATGAGGAGAGAAATATAAAAAAGGATACAATTCTAAGCAGGGATCGAGAAATGTGGCGCCTGAAGGCATATGGACACAAATCACTAAATGTGGCTGAGCAATATAAGAACATGGATAATCAAGCATATAGGTTCTTGGACTTTATCAAGCAAGGTGCAAAAGGAAGGAGTTATGATGAGCCTTCACAATATAAGATTAGAATTAGATTACTGTGTTCAATTCTGACACCACATTTTAAAAACAATGCAAAAGTATTAAGACTGGGTGTGTGGAAAATATTTACAAGAATGGTCTCAGGGATTAGGAGCTTCAGTTTCACGGAAGGATTAGAGTAACTGAGGTTGCGTTCCTTAGAGCGAAAGAGGTTGAAAGTTAATGTTAAAAATGTCTTAAAAGTCATGAGGTATCTGGACAAGGAGATGGGAAGAAATTATTCTATTGGAAGGAAGGTTATGGACCAGAGAACACTAATTTATGATGAAAAGCAAAAGAATCAAAGATGACATGAGGAAAATCTTTTAATATAACATGAGTTAAGATCTGGAATACACCCCCTGAGAGTGGGATGCAGACAAACCCAAATGCAATCCTTGGAAGAGACTTAGACAACTATTCGGGAAAGAAAAGGAAGGCAATTGGGAAAAAAGTAAAGGGAATAAGACCAACTGCGTTTCTCCAAAAGAGAGGCAGCACAGCCATAAAATGATGAGTGGTTGCATCACAGAAGACCTGTAGGTAATAACTTATATCAGTCAGTATGACTACAATTTGATAGAGATGACACATTCAAAAGTTCAGCCTGGGCTAGCGTTGAATCCCAGGTCACAGAGGTAGAAGAATCGTCACAACTTGATCTTTCCCCTTCAGCAACACCTCTCGAGGTGTAATGTTTTGGATAAAAAGCAGGTTGTGTTAGTCAGCCGAATGTCTTGCTCCATAAACCAATGTTATGCATAAATCTTTGTAATCAATTGCATTTTTCTTTCTACCTGACATCCATTTTGAGTGAACCATTTATATATTTCCAGAATTCATAGGATTCTAGTTGCTCCCAAATTGTCAAAAGTATCATTCACACAGGTATAATTATATTTTAATGTTTATAGGCTTATCGAGAACATTTTTGAAAAATGGACATTATGTAACTGTGTAAGACTTTCATCAATTTAAGTAATCAATTGATGCAGTTTATTAAGTGCTGAAGTATTTGAACTAACTGCCACATATTGTTACAAGCAAAAATTTACAGTTTACATGCAAAGCAATCAGCAATTCTATTATTTAATTAACTTTAAACATAATACTTCATAACATATGAAACTCAAGAGCACGACATACCCACATGTAAATTCAATTGTTAACTAACATTGTTTAAGTAAATGCAACAACCTATAAACGACATCAAACCATTCACAATTCTATTAATACAAGCTAAGGTATTTAATAAAATAGTGTCACACAAGTGGCCAGCCTCAATACAAGTGCGTTAAATTAGACTAGAACAAAATCTGCATATTTGAGCAGAAATGTGATTTGTGTTTATTCAAGTATCATTACCTAATCCTAGGAGATTTCCCTACAATGATGACCACCATTGTAGCACTATTTCCAGAGAAGGAGTAAAGATAGAAGTGATTCACAAACCTCTTAATGTGTTCAAAAAAGATTTAAATTGTTTACAGCATGCAATCCTATATCCATCCTTTGATTTCAGCATTTAACAGTAAAATCCATGTGTAAACATTCCAATAATAGAAATCTCTATTTAGATATTCATAAAAGCAAAAGTTCCTGTCTGAGTTTTACCATTATGATTTGGAGATAAATCAAACAAATCATTGTTGCTGTTTGAAATGTTAGCTGTGGAAAAGTTGCAGGCTGCATCTCTGATTGTGGTTACTTGGATGAATATTAGGCAAGAAACAAAATGCATTGCAAAAGTCTTCATTTTTAGTGACTCAGCTGCCTTATGTATATGATTATGTAGAAAATTCATTTACAGATCTGAATTCTAAACTGTTTTTGACGTTTAATGAATAAAAATGTGAAAACAGGTTGATAAGCAATAAATCTCACTGATAGTGCAGTTTTTAACAGTTTTTGGTTGGGGCACAAATACAGTACCTTTTGGGAACTTATATATCCCAGGCTTGTGACTTTCCATTCAGGACTTGAATATGTGCTGTTTCAAAGAATATGCTTCTGGCATGCAACAGGAATATGAAGCTCGCAATCTAACCTGAAATACATTAATGTAAGATTGCGAAGAAAGGAACTAGAGATGATGGGAAAAGCTTTAGCTAATAGAGATTACTTACTGATCCAAAAGGGACCACTGATCGATCTGGAGGTTGGAAGCTCTGAGGATTGCCATGGAAAGGTGACAGCCTAAATCAGGCCTTGGGAATTTTGCATTTTCTTCGCGATCCACTCACTACAAAACCTTCAATTCCAATTCCCTTTTAAAGAAAGGATGTTATTAAACTGGAAAGGGTGCAAAGAAAAATTCACAATGTTACTGAGACTGGAGGGCTTGAGTTATAAGGTGAGGTTAGACCTTAAGACATAGGAGCAGAAATTAGGCCATTCGGCCCATCGAGTCTGCTCCGCCATTCAATCATGGCTGATAAGTCTCTCAACCTCATTCTCCCATTTTCTTCCCTTGATAATCAAGAACCTATCTATCTCCGTCTTAAATTTACTCAATGACCTGGCCTCCACAGCCTTCTGTGGTAGTGAATTCCACAGATTCACCACTCTCTGGCTGAAGGTTGATAGACTGAGACCTTTATTCCTAGAATGTAGGAGGCTAAAGGGTGACCTTATAGATGTTTATAAAATCATGAGGGGCATAGATAAGATGTATATCCAAAGTCTTTTCTCCAGGGTAGGGAAGTCCAAAAGTAGAGAACACGGGGTTAAAGTGAGAGAAGAAAGACTTAAAAGGGATCTGAGGGGCAACAGAGGGTGGTACGTATTTGGAAGGAGCTGCCAAAGGAAGTGGTAGAGGTGGGTACAATTACAACATTTAAAAGATATTTGGATAGATACATGGATAGGAAAGGTTGAGAGGGATATGGGGCAAATGCAGGCAAATGGGACTAGTTTAGTTTGGAAAACTGGTTGGCATGGACAAGTTGGGCCGAAAGGGTCTGTTTCTGTGCTCAATCTATAAATTGGATGCATCAAACAGGCACATTGGTGTTTCAGGATTATGTAATGGCAGAAGTGTCGCACACTTTCAGCTGAGTACAAATTTGAATTTGTCTGTTTAAAAAAACAGCCTTTGAAGATTTGGACGCTAGGGTAGACCATTTAATACTGTGGTATTGAACTATAGTAAAATCAATTTCCTTCTGAAAGTGACATTGATTCCCTTGTTATGAGTTTGAAAAAAGATAAGGGATGACTTCATGAGGGACATAGAAATCAGAAAACATGTCTTGTAAGAGCCAAAGGAAACCTTTGACCCTGTGAACTCTATTAAAGCTATGCAGATGCAGCTACCCAGTGTAATTTTGCAATCTACCAATGATATTTGCCTGCCAGATATAAGAGCTAAATGCATGCCATCCTCTGGATAATAACCTCCTTACTTTATCTATTTAAGCTGAAACACAGAGAAAATGCCGGAAGTACTCAGCAGGTCTGGCAACATATATCGGTTTTTGATGAAAGATCATCAACCTGAAATATTATCTGCTTTGCTCTTCGCATTTGCTGCCTGACCTGCTAAGAATTTTCAATACTTCTTGTTTTCTTTCAGAGTTGCAGTATTTTGCTTTGGTAATAAGCACACTGGTGTTTTGTTCTCAGATAGTGAAGAGTGCACCATATGCTACGGATCCAAACTACTACCAAAGTGTGAGAAGTGGGGATTTGAAAGGGCCACATACCTGTGAACCTACACGAAGATTGTACTCCAGAAATGAAATGGAAGAAGCAAAGTATGTTCTCTGAGTTGTTTTTTGTTACATTCTCAGAAATGCTCATCAATACTAGGACAACATAAATATTCAAAAGACATCCTTTTTATCTTAAATAATAAATTTTCTTATTTACACTGTTCAAAACTTCCCTTAAAAGCTAGATTAGTTAGTTTGAATGAGATTGTTTGATGTGAAAGATATTCTCTCCTTACTTTCCTTTCAGCACCTTAGTTATCTTCTACTTCAAGATGTAATTAATTACAAATCTGGCTCATGTTGCAAATATTTTCTTTAACAAAGGATATTTTTGTTGTTATAAGGAAATATGATACCTAAACACCATAACCTTACCTTATCCAGCTTGCTCCTCTGTGGATTTTAGACCTACATTAGTTAGTCAATTGCAGATGGAAGTATGGTTTCTATTTAATGATTTGAACTGTTTTTGCAACTATTTTCACTAGTATTATTTACCAAGGTTTATCTATAGTTTTTTGTGTTGCTTTCACACAGACATGCTACTTTCTTTCTCATATAAGTTTTAGTAATATTTAATTGGAGTATTAAAATAGGGTCACAATACTGCTCTATAACATTTTTAAAAATAGCACATGCTAGATCTTTGAACTATGGAAGAAATGCTCCTTTCAAAGTGACTTGGACAATACACATGAGACTGGTGCAGTGGTAGTGATCCAGGAGGCCCAGATTAAAATCCCACCAGCTCAGAGTTTAATGATTGTAACAAGGTCAGCTAGGTGGACCTCATAGAATATGAGTTCCCTGATTGGGGCTGTTAATCTGGTCCAAATGGGGACCCCTGGCTGACAGATAGGAGCAGAAGTGTCAGGCATCTGGACACTATGAGAGCTGGCCCTGAGGGAGTGGATCAGTGTCAAGGACTTCCCACATGTAAGTAAGAGTGACTTGATGACAGGATACTGGCCTCTGTGGAGTTATTTCAAGAGGTGTGTAATAACATTTTGGAACTGGTTGATCAGAAAATATCTACACAAGAGGCAGAAATTCTATTGACCAGACATTTGACATGCTGTAACAATTGTTCTGATCTTTAGGTTGCCTCAGGGTGCTCTGTAATATATCTTCAGACTGTTAATGTTAGACTCACACTACACTAAGATAGCTATGGTCAGACACCAACAATAAATGGTAGATGAGGAGCAGTAACAAAAGGCGTGGCATGGGGATTACAGGAGGATGATGTGTTCCAAGGATTTCTGCAGAAATCAGCCTTTGGATTTTGGACTTTAATAGAAGACATCTTCCATTGAGATCCATTTTCTGAAGAAGGGTCCTGACCTGAACCATCAACTTGCCTGCACCTCTGAAGCTGCCTGGCCTGCTGCGTTCCTCCAGCTCCACACTGTGTTGTCTCTTCCATTGAGATCTGCTTTTATTTTTAACTGAATATTTATATTTCCTTTGCTAAAAAAAGACACTATTTCTACTGCAGTTTCTCTGGAGGAACAATTTAGAAAGGAAACAATGACAATAACTTCAGCTAATGTCTTATACCATGTATTTATTTCAGTGTTAAGAAAGGTGCATTGTATGTTTAATGTAATCTAACATTTCTATGCTCTGCATTCTGATATGTCATGTTCCGGTTTTGAAGGAATGAAAATATTGAAAGCAGATTAATAGAGAAAGTTTTTTTTTGTCAGACACTGCAATTATGGCACCGTTACCTTCTTTAATTTTCTAATTTATTATTTACTAATGATCAAACTTTTACATCTGAAAGTATAAGAGTTAAGTAGTGGTGTACACATAGTTTCACAAAGCAAGTAAGCATTTCAATCTTGAATTCAGAGATTCTTTGGAAGTTCAATGTATTTTTATTTATTATTCTGTAGAGCAGCGAAAGATCAAGAACTGAGGGAACGGATTCAGCAACATATCAAACTGCTACGAGAAAGAAGAAAAAGACAAAAGGGAAGCCTTCAAGAAGAATTGGCGACTGCAAAAGCAGATTTAGAAATTGTGTGTTCATCAAACATTCTTGCTTGCATAAGTTAAATTTAGTGTTGTTTTTGTATTTTTATAACCAATTAATTTATTACTTTTTTAAAGGATTTTACTAGTAGACTTTAAGAATAGGAAATGAGAAAAGCTATTACATTCATGGGAGTCTTTTTAAAAAAAATTCTATTGGGCAACTATTGTACTTTTACTTTTAAAGAGAGGCTAATTCTGGTACTAAGACCATTAACTTTCAGAGAACCAAAGAGAAAGTTAAGCAATCGACAGAATCTGTATTTCAATTATAAGATTTGGTTTACTGATACAAGGAGTCCACAGCTTTTGGGTTCAGCAAAATAATGATTTAAAGTAGAAACTCTGTTTCTACACTGAGTGTATGGAAAAGGAAAAGACTGTAGGAAAATTTATATGTAACTAAGAAGCCATAAAAAAAGAAGTAACACACAACCACTGATCAAAGTAACTGACAACATTGAAGAGACATGCATCGCACACTAAAAGGTCTTTATTTTTGTCTCCAGTTTTACATCTTGCCACTTGAATGTGCAAAATTATAAATAAAGGAAGAACATATGTTCACATAGCGCCTTTCACAACATTCCAAAGCTGCTCTGAGCTGACTTCTGAAACATAGTCATTGGTATGACTAATTTTTGAACAGATACAAGGACGATGTTACTGTGTTTGATGTTGTCAACATAGACATTAGCAATGTTTTGATAGGTGTCCTATCTTGTAAACCATTCCGAGGAATAAGAGCCATGAAAATTCCAAGGGAAAAAAGTGAGTTGAGTCCAAAATGGGCTCAGAAGCATGGTGCAAAGTACAATGGTTCTTTGTGTTTTTGTAACTGCATTGTTATTTCTGTTCAGATTTTCCAGTGCACAGAATGTGATCCTTTGTATTTTGTATTCTACATCAATGATTTGGAGGGGTCATGTCTCACAAGTTTGCAGACATAACAAAATCAATCATTTGATTGATAGTGTGGAAAAAGAAGTGTAAATTGCAGGAGGATACCATGGGACTGGTCAGGCGGGGGCAGTGTGTTATAATGCATTTAGGAGAGCAACCTAGTCAAGCAGACAGAGGAGGTTGGGGGGAGATTTAATTAAAGTGTATGCAATTATGAATAGTCTAGTTAAATTGGATTGGAAGGATTTGTTTTACTTACAGAAAGGTCAGTAACTGAAGGCATAGAGTTAAAGTAATTGGCAGAAGGGTTAAAGGTGAGTCGAAGAGAAATGTTTTCAGCTGGAGGGCAGTGGAGGGGTGTGGCTCTGGAAGTCGCTGAAAGAGTGATGGAGGCAGAAATACTCATCACATTTAAAAACAAAACGTTACTTGTACACCTGGAGTACCATAATATAAAGATCTCTAGATCAGGACTCCGAAAGCAGAATTAGATTGGGTCACTTTATTTCAAGTGGCACAGATATAGCAATGGGCTGAATTGCTTCTAGCTGTGCATTTTCTAGTTTGCATTGTAGGTAAATGTAGCATTGGATTTGCACGCAGCAAGATTCCACAAACAGTAATGAGATAAGTGAACAGACAATCTACTTCATCAATCTCCACCAAAAGATGTTGAAGTTTGCACACAGACTTGAATGCAAAACCATCCAGTTGAGGCAAGAGGATTAGCTAAATTCAGTATGCTTTACGTTCAGAAGTGATGTTAACAGCGGGAGAAGCATATGATTTAATTAATTGTCTTAGCTGACTTTCTCCAGTAGAGATGTACATGTAAATAAAATTTTCTTGCTACTGCAATGCCATTATTTTTCAACCAAGAAGAAAACCAGACCAAGCTCTTGACTACCACAAAAAGTAGAAGAACTACATAGGCTAGCGTGTGGTGGCAGCAAGGCCTTGTGTTCTGAAGTCCGGTCGGCACGGATTCAGTGGAAAAGGACTATAATTTGAGTTCTTTAAAGATACTTTACAGTATCACTCTGGACTTTTGAACTCTACATTCCCATGCAAGCCTTTTTTTTACTATTTCAATTCTTTAACAGCATTTAAAGTATCTGTACTTAGGTACCCTGTACCTAAGATGGCACTAAGAGGTGACATTACAAACCTTTCTCTGCACTCACTCAAGTGCACATGACAATAAAGGCTATTCTAATCTTTCTATTATTCCTGGCAACATCTGCATTACTCATCTTATATTGAATGAACAAATTCTGCCCATATGCTACATATATATAGTATGCATGTCTGTATATGTGTGAATATATGTACATGTTTTTGTACACATGTATATCTTGCTGTCTTTATACACATATATAGACATAATTACATATTAATTTCTCAAAAGTCACAGCCTTTGAATTAACACTTACAAAATTAATCTTTATAATGGGAAAAACCTACTTCAAACCTGCCCCATCAAACTTTATTGGTTCCTCACAGCTGCACTTGGTAGAAAAAGGGAGCATAGAAACTAAAGACTTAGTGTTATAAAACAGCCTATTATCTGAATTCCAGTGAACAGCACCATAATAATGTATTTGATGTTTTGTATATGTATAAAATTCCTGTGAAGGTAGTACATTTTTCCTTTAAACTCAACTGCCATGCTTTCAGTCAGACTGTTCCCATTGTGTCGGCCTACTTCTGTCAAATCATATCAATTCATCTTCATCCTACTTATTTTGTTACCATTGGGTGTAGTTAAAGCAAACAGAAGCTATTAGAGGAAACAAGGCAAGGGGTATATTGGCCTTCATTGCAAAAGGATTTCAGTCCTGAAGTAGGGATGTCTTACTGCAGTAATACAGGGCTTTAGTGAGACTATACCTGGAGTATTGCACACAGTTTTGGTCTCTTACCTAAGAAATGATATACTTGCCACAGAGGCAATGCAGCAGATGTTCATTATGCTGATTATGGGGATAGCAGGACCGCCATATGAGAAAAAATTTGTCTGTATACAATAGAGCTAAGAAGGATGAGAGGGAATTTGATTGAAATGTATTAAATTCGAACAGGGCTGTACAGACTGAATGAAGGAGAATGTTTTCCCTGGATGGGGAGTCTAGAACCAGGAGACACAGTCTCAGGATGTGGAGTGTACCATTTAGGATTGATATGAGAAAATATATCTTCTCTCAAATGTTGTGATCCTGTGGAATTGTCTCTCAAAGAAGGCTATGGATGTCAAACTTACTCCACATATTCAAGAAAGAGATGATAATTCTTTATTTTTTAAAGTCATCAAGGGATATGAAGAGAAAGCAGGAATATGGCATTGAGATAGAGGATCAGCCATAATCATTTTGAAAGGCAGTGCAGACTTGATGAGTGAAACGGGAAAAAAAAGTCCAGTGTCTTCTAGACACAAGAAATGGGAAATTAAAGAAACTTTAAGTATTGAACAAGCCCTATTATGAACTTAAAACTGAGTGCCTCCCTATAGGAAGTACAATTTCAATTAGTGTGTATTTGACATCAAAGCTCAGCTGCTGCTGAGTTGCATCTCCTGCAGAACCATACCTCTCCAATGCTCCACCAGCCCACATCTTCATATCTTCTCTGATCATTTTACAGGTCAGTGTACAACTGCAAGTAATATAAAAGTAAAATGTCTGCATGTGTTTTACATTCACGTTATTTCAATTTCCACATTCTGTATGCTGCAAATTTCCATAGCATTCTTTAACATGATCAGGCCAAATTTTACATTTCTGAAATGGTACTACTGCAGAAGTCTGCAAACATAGGCAACTGGAAAAACCTAACAACAAAATACAGTAGACAGTGAAATCACTTAAAACATTATTCAATTTTTTTCTGCCAAATCTTTTATTTTAGTCAGTCCACGATATGCTCCAGTGAAAGAAATGCTAAACTTGGGAGTTTTAATGTAATGCTTTTATTGCATATTTTGCAAGTGGGTTTGGACTTATCTATAAAATTGTCTTTTGTCTTTTTTGAATTCCTTAATCTTACTTGGAGGTGTCAGTCTTGGAAATTTATTTGGTTTCAGTTGATCTTCTTCCTAGATCTTTGTTAGTTCAGGCATGTCATTCCTTCAGTTTGCAATTAGAAGTTAAGCTTATTATTCCAAATTACTTCTGAGCAATCTGGAGCATGAACTTTTGAAACTTTGTTGAAGTGAACTTTGATTGGAAAACTTACTTTCAAGAGCTTATTTTCACTTCAGAGAGGGTCTGATTAAGATGGATGACACAAGGAAGGAAACATTAACTCATACATAGTGTCTATAATAGTTGCAAACAGATAGAAGTAACATTCCACGACAGAGACAGCAAGAGCTGCAGATGCTGGAGTCAGAGATAACACAGCGTGTAGTTGGAGGAACACAGCAGGCCAGGCAGCATCAGAGGAGCAGGAAAATTGATGATTCGGGTCAGGACCCTTCTTCAGATGCTTTTTTCTGAAGAAGGGTTCCGATGTGTAACATTAACTTTCCTGCTCCTCTGATGCTGCCTTGCCTACTGTGTTCCTCCAGGTCCACACTGTGTTGTGTCAACATTCCACTGCAGTTGTTTAAAATTCTCATATTATTTTCATACGAATATAACTTTTAATCTGTTTAAATTTTTTTTTTCTCTTTTTGTGTAGGCTACAGAACTGAAATCTACACTTGCTAGAAGAAAAATAATTGGGAATCTCTCATAAAATAACGTTATTTTGATTGTTGGAGGACCTTTATCCAGAAATTCATCTACTATCCATTCCCAAAATGCTATTTTTATCAAGAAATGGTAATAGACTATCACAACACTGAAGAATATCTACAGTTGATAATGGAAGTGCAATAAATGGGAATATTGTATTTAATATTCTGTCTAAAGTCAAATTTCATCAATAGCTATGTTCAATTGGTATATGCTGTTCAAAACATGCTACCTTATAATTATACCTGTCTGCAACAAGAAATAATTAATAGGTTATTAAACCTTTTCCTTTGACATATTGTTATAAGGCGGAGATTGACCCCACTCTGATAACTTAAACCAAAACACCCAGAGAGGAGCACCTCACCTTATAATCTGTTGAAAGAATTCCCAATCAATTATAAAGGAGTGGTTAAATAAAATAAACCCCTGACACTCACTTTATAATCAACAAGTAACAATCTATTTATCTAACTCTAACAGTGGACAAATTAACTGAACTAATAACAAACTGAATAAACCTCTTCTAGCTACTAACTATTCCCGAATAAAACAAAATTCTGATGGCATGCTGTTCCAATAAATACAAGTCCACTTATATAAACCAAAATAAAAAAAAAATTAGAATTTAGTCTCCGAAATTACAGCCAGGTTAACTCTTCCGGAATGTTCTGTGTCTTCCCCGTTGATCTTCTGTCAGGAATGCCTTCTTCATTGAATTCTTTTATCAGGAATATTAACTAAGAGTGCTGAATTGCCTTTATTTAGATGATGCTTTCTCTAAGAGCTGAGAGAGCTAATCTCTTAGCAGATGGTAGTTCAATCTCTGCTGATTTTGCAACTGTCCCCGTCTTTTGTACCCTTGATGACATATCAATTTCTTATAATGGGACTGGTGCTATGTGGTCAAAACCGTCAGATTTAAATTTAATTGGTTTTTAGTTTCTAAGTGCCTGGTTTAAATTAATTGGCTAAATCAAAACTTGTCTTAATAACAAAACAAAACTGTATAGCTAACTGTACAGCCTTTAATATAAGTGTTATAATTCAGATGCTCTGTGCACCTGCAAACCCATAAACTGCCCACAGACTTTTTTTTTAATCTCCAAGCCTCAAAAAAGCAGATAATCTTTTAAAGAGACCACACACTGCTTTCCATCCTATCATTTTATAAACATCAATATTATACAAACACCAAGTTCTAACATCCTTCCTTCCAATCCACAAGTACTCTGCCCAACTTCGCAACACCTCCCGCCTTAAAAAAAGAACCATCATTATGAAAAGATGGCTTCATTTTTAAAACCTTAATACTATTATGACTAGATCCACAGGTCATTAATCTAGAGTTACACATTTCATATATTCTATATACATATTTTATATACATATAACATTGAACATTGCCGTTCCTATCTTACATACACACTTTTCTGTTAAACCTGCGATAATGCATCTGCAATAACATTTTCATGACCTGCAACACATACAATCTGTAAATTAAATGCTTGTAACATAAGTCTCCAACAAAATAATCTGGTGTTCATGTCCTTAAATCTTTCAAAAATGTCAAAGGATTGCGATCGGTATACATAACCGCCTCTGATACATTGTTTGCAATGGAAATATTAAAATGTTGTAAGGTCAGTAGCAAACTCAATAATTCTTTTTCAATGGTTGAGTATCTTTTCTGGTGGATATTAAGTTTATTTGAAAAATAACTGATTGGCCTTTCAATTCCACAATCATCCTCCTGTAGCAACACAGTTCCAACCCTTATATCACTTGTGTCGATGGCAACTTTAAAGGGTTTCAAGAAATTTGATGTGGCTAAAACTGGTGTGGTTATTAACACTGCTTTTAAATTCTCAAAAGCCCCGTGGCATTGTTCTGTCTAACGATATTTCATATTCTTTTTTAACATCTGTCAGCACTGCCACCACACTACTAAGGTTTGGTACAAATTTCCTGTAGAATCTGCTCAATTCCAAAAATCGTAGCTCTTTCTTCTTCGAGGATGGTCTTGGAAATTCCTCAAAGGCCTCCGTCTTCACATTCCTCAGTGTCATCCATCCGTGTCTGATGTTGCGTCCTAAGAACGTCACTTCCATTTTTGTGAATTCTGTTTTTTGCCAAGTTTATGACCAACTGTGCCTTCTGTAGTCTCTCAAAGAACTCTGTCAAATGCTCCATGTGATCTTTTCACGATTGGCTAAAGATCACTAAGGCATCTATGTAGACAGTGCAATTATTTAATCCTGCCATAACTCTGTTCATAAGTCTTTGAAAAGTGGCTGGTGCATTTTTTATTCCAAAAGGTGTTACTTTAAATTGATATAGCCCATGTGGGTTTACAAAAGTAGAAATTTCTTTCGGTCTCTCCAACAAAGGTACTTGCCAGTAACCGCGAAGCAAGTCCAACTTTGTGATGTAAGTGGCCTGTCCTACTTTTTCCACACAGTCCTCCAGCCTTGGAATTGGGCATGAATCTGATTTGGTCACGGCATTGATCTTCTGATAATTTACACAGAATCATTGAGTACCATCAGGTTTGGGAACCAACATGATCGGCAAATTCTGCTTGCTTTGATTCGGCTCAATGCTGTCATCTTGGAGCATCGCTTTCACTTCCTTCTGAGCCTGCACTGCTTTGAGAGGATTACGCCTGTAGCGGCGTTGTTTTATCGGAACAGCATTCTCTATGTCAACCTCATGTACTATGGTATTAGTCCTCCCCATTCTATTTCTACATATGTCCTCATAGCACTGCAACAAATCTTTCAATTGAGTTCTCTGTTCCTGGAACTGATAACTCACTACCCTATCCCATTCTTTAAGGTCTTCTTCATTATTCAATTTATTCTGAGGCACATCAAAATCCAAATCATCTGGATTTGAGTCCTCACTCTGAGTGGCAGTAACTAATACCTGTTTCTCCAGTTCCCTTTCCCTGTCATAGTAATGTTTCAGCATATTCATGTGATGTACCCGTTAATTATCTTTTCCTATCTGGCATCTTTACCAGGTAATCCACCTGACTGACTTTTCTCACAATCTGATAGGGACCACTAAACCTTGCTTTGAGGGGGTGTCTCACCACAAGTAACAGCACTAATACTTTTCCCCATGGGCAAATGTACGAATTTTCGATTTCTTATCTGCTTCATGCTTCATTAGATGCTGTGCCACCTTCAAATGTTGTCTAGCTAATTCATTTACTCTACTTAATCTTTCTCTCACCTCAGATACATAATCCAACTGTGAGATCTCTGACTTTGGACCTATCGATTTTTCCTTAATTAATTTTAAAGGGCCTCTTACTTCGTTTCCGAATATCAATTCAAATGGAGTAAACTGGATTGATTCATTTGAACAACTCTAATAGCAAATCATTTGGGTAACCCTTGCAATAAGCCCGCAGCATGGTCTTTAGGGTCTGATGCTACCTTTCCAACTTTGCAACAATATTCACAAACTTTCAAGTATATTGTTTAATTTACTATAATGCAGCATATTATATACTTCAAATTATTAATAGAACTCAATGTTGTGTAGTAATTTCCTTCGCACCCATCATGATTTAGAGTAGAAACAAATTAATGGCTATTGTCACTGATAATTCATCGAGGTGTTTTCTTGTCTTTGGTAATTTAGATGAAGTGGGAACCTTTTCTGTATGAACTTAAGTAGGATGTTAGCCAGTTATTACAGGTGCTTATCCACCTGTAACAATGCCAACAAAGATCACTCTCCTCACCAAGATGGGTATGAGAATTTATCATAACTTTTGTGGTACCATCTTAGCACTCACCAGCTAATTCAACATACTCCTAGTGTGTAGAATGAGATTTTTCTCACATTATACTGTAACCCATCATAAAGAATTAGCCACAGGGTATTATGTGAATGCCAAAATGGTCTTTGGCATCAAATTATTTGTTTTTTCAATTATAATTTTGAATTTTATAGATGTGATTAATTAGCGTCAATGGACAGTGAAGTTAAAAGCTTTGCAATATTGTTTTATAGTAGTTATCTAATGCTCCATTGGTCTCCTATTGTCTTCAGGTGTATGTCTCATGAAAACCTTTCACTGTGTTTAAAAGTCTCAATAACAAAATAGTGGACAAATTTCCACCAATAGCATCTCTGTTTGTCCAATATGGAGAGTATATACTATATGCCTATGGGAACAAGCTCCATTGCTTCAATCCAGGGGAAGAAGTGCAAATTAGAAAGTGATGAAATTTAGAGACTTACAGCTTTTTCAAGGCATGCTGTTGCAGTTTAAGCAGTAATGAGCTGGATAGGATTAATCTATCCTGCAGGAAGTTGGCTTCAAAAGTGTTCTGGTAACAACTGCAAAGACACTCGATCCTCAAGAACAGGATGAACTTTCCTAATGCCATTAATAACACTGCCTGCCTTGAAGCACTGCAATCTACTCTGGTTCACATATTGTCCAATTGATTATTATTTAGACTTTAAATTACACTTTAGTGACACTGATCTCTGTCAATAAGAAAAAAAATTATTTTGAACAAAATTATCTTCAAGGGGAAAATAATGGCAGAAGTCCTACCTTAACCCTCCTCTTGTTACCTGCATTTTATCCAACTCAAAACATTTATAATTATAATTTCTGCATTATATTGCTTCTGGTGCAAAAAGGAAATTGAACCTTTAAAGGTTTCTTTAAGCAAAGGACAGCTAAAGAGGTGAACTCCTGGGGTCAAGTGAGAGTGATTGCCCTTAATATCAAGGCAGCATTAGATCATGTATGGCATTGAGGAGCTTGAGCAAAACTACACTCAACCAGAATTAGAGGAAATGCTGGAAGAGCACAAAGGAAGATGTTTTTGGTTGTTGCAGGTCAGTCATATTGGCTCCAGGACATCTTTGCAGGAGTTTTTCATGGTAGTGTCCCAGGCCCAACCATCCACAGCTAATTTATCAATGACCTTCCTTCAAATCATAAGGTCAGAAGTGTGTTAGCTGATGATGCAACTTCTAAAATATTAGGCAGTCCATGGATAAATGCAATGAGACCTGGAAAATATCTAGGCTTGGATTGAACATTCACATAAATGGGCAATGGCCATCTCAAGCAAGAGAGAAACTAACTTGTCATTTAATGGCATTACCACTGCTGACTTCCCATTG